ATAGCTTCTGTATTTTAAAGTGTCCTGGTTCATCACTATCTTGCTACAGGGCAAGATTTTATTCTTTTTTGGAAGCTGTGTAATTTGGAAAAATTCTGGATATCAAATTCTACACATGAAAAAGTATAGGGGAGGAAAATAGGAAATTTCTTGGACATAATGGGAGGTTGGTTGAGAAATGCTTCTTAGATAGAGAAGAGGAAATTGATGTAAATGGATTCCTGGTTTAAACCTCAGGAACAATAATGTGATTGTATTTGAATAACTACCTTTTTTTTTTTTGCAAAGTTACATTTTATGAGTTTTTTTTTTTTTTTCCTAGTGGAAAAATAAAATGATGTTCAAGAGTTTCCTTTGGTTTCATGCCTAAGAAAGAGAAACTGATTTAGAAACCTAGAAGTGAGTAATCAGTCTAGTTATATCTTAAGTAAGATTCTACTCTTCACTTAGCCCGTGATCACCTTAGGAGTTGTAGAAACAAAAACATTGCCACTCACAGTCTCCTATTTCTGTCTCATGGTTTGGGTTTAGTTTAATCTTTTTTTGTTCTCTTCATCTTTTCTGACTATTGTCTCTTAACACTTCCATTTTGCATAGAAGTATTGTAAATAGTATGAGGGATAATGAATTTCTACTCCAAAAGTCATTTAGGTTTACATTTTCTGAGTACAGTAATTTCATCTATTTTTCTTGAGTAATGTCAGTATAGTCAGCTCTTCAGGAAGTACTTGTTTGGAAGGTCTCATCTAAGTAGTTTGAAAAGGAATGTTCATTATCTGGCAGGATTCTCTTACAGTAGTAACTTTGTACCATACATTCTTTTTTTTTTTTTCCCCCATTGTGCTTACGGAAATGCCAGACTTGATGCTTTGAAGAGGTATATTCTCTGTAGGGTCACAAAGTGACTGTCCTTTGGCGCGGTAAATACTCAGCTTCGAAGGTCCAGAAACTTGATTTTGTCAGTAGTAATCTAGAGTGGATCAGTCTCTAAGGGGACATGTTTATGCTAGTGTAACTTAAAATATGAGATGTATAAATGTTAAAAGGACTAGGTACTTGATGTCAGTTTTCCTAAAAGGAACATTCAAAGGGGAAAATGAAGTAGGCAACTAAATATAAGGCTTCCCTTAATTCCCCTATGAGATTATCCAAAAAAAATTTCGGCCTCCTAAAATATTTCCATTTTTGGGGATGTCAGTAGAGTTGTTAAATGTCTTATACTAAGTTTGTTAATATGGTTACATATTGCTGTCCTAAATTTAACAGGTCTTTTTATTTAATGAAATTATTTTAGTTTCATCTCTGGTGTCAGTGTTTTGTTGTCACTAGGACCATTTTTTGATCATTAACAACTTAACAGCAAATATCTTCTTCACTTTTTCAGAACGGTACTTTTTGTATTGCTTATGATGATGTCATTAGAGATTTTATCCTACATAGAATTAATATTGGTATAGTTTCTTTCCCCTCTTGTAGGTATTTCTGTGTGATTGTCCTCAAAGTAACCATTTACTTAATTGCTTTGTAAAAAGGATCTGAAGAGTTCATTTACAACAACATCCTGCACTGGTGAAGTTTTAGCTTAAGACTAATTATTAAATCTTTCCTTTTTAAAAAGTAATTTTTATCATATGACGTCTACTGGCATTCAGAACTAGTGTAAAGGTTATTTCAGGTTATTGAGTCTTCATCATTGTTATTAAAATAAATTTGGGGGAATACTCTTTCGTAAGAGACATTGTTTAATGGAATATAAGATGGCTCCCTCTTTTTTGAAGATGAATTCAGATAATAAAACCCTGACTTAAATTTGTGAATATCAGAGTAAGGGAAGTTGGTACATGATTTTAGTTAAACTAGCTGTGAATGTCTGGAACATCCATCTTTAAATAAATGACTCACTCCTCCACTCCCCCCAATGATTTGTAGTAAATTCTAATTGTAGTGGCTTTCCATTTATACATTCTAGTCCCTAGACATTTGGTTAAATTCTCTTCTGACGGGGTACAATGAAATTAATTTCATTTTAACAAAACTGATATTAGGTTAAGGCCTCAGTATCTTAAGTTTGCAGACATACTAATGCAGCAAACCCATTTTCCTAAAGATGCACACTAGTCATCTTATTTAGACTTCAGATATTTTTAAAACCTTTTCACAATTTTTTGATAGTCTTAGATTTTATTCATCATGATTTGGTTCTTAATTTGTTATTTTTACTTCAGAGTACTTTGTAATTGTACTTATGCACAGGTAGTATTGACTTCCATTTGTATTCGAGAAAAATTTTGGGCAGAGATTACTTACTTTCAGCCCTGAAGTCAATAATTGTATTTATTCTGTGTGTTTTAATGGCTTAAGAGCTAATTTTTTAAAAAGGTGTAATTTTTGGATTTAAAATTAGTTTGAGTATGTAATTTGTATGTATTGTTTTTTTAAATGAAATAATTTTGACTCGTCAAAATATGAAAATAGGAAGTCAGGTATATATCTGATTTCCTCTTCCTGGTTGGTTATATAATGATCATACAAGGCTAATGGAACCAAAAACTTTTTTTTTTTTTTAAAGATTTTATTTATTTATTTGAGACAGAATGAGAGAGAGAGAGAGAGAGAGAGCACATGAGAGGGGGGAGGGTCAGAGGGAGAAGCAGGCTCCCTGCCGAGCAGAGAGCCTGATGCGGGACTCGATCCAGGGACTCCAGGATCATGACCTGAGCCGAAGGCAGTCGCTTAACCAACTGAGCCACCCAGGCGCCCTGGAACCAAAAACTTTTAAATTTGCAGCTAATCTTTTCATTTAGACTTAAGTCAGAATAAGGAAAATCTCCAATTAAATTGCTATTTAACTCAGTTGCTTATGTGACCTCATCATAATCACTAGAATAACTTTCTAAAAAATTCTATTAATTTATAATTGGTGGCAAAGCTTAGTAAAGTTGATGTGGATCTAGATCTTTGGCAATTAAGGGCTAACCCAGGGAACTGTATTTTGAGAAATTTGTCAAGAAAATGAGGTGGGGACCGTGAATAACCACTGTGGACCAGTGTTTTGAGGCCTCATGTAAGTTCCAATATAGGAATGTATTTTAAATTAGAAATTGAAATTATTATTTTTTATACTTCAATTAAAGTTTTTAAGATATTAATGCTACTAAATTGAATACTTTTAAGCTGTCCTGACTGGTAAGTGACTAAATTAGGAAATGGAATAAGATTGTAGATTAATAAAAATTGTGATCTTCACTTCACCCATATCTTCACTTCTTAACTGCAGATAACTGGGAAAAATAATGAAACCTCTCCCCTTCCTCATATTGCGAAATCATATATTAGTATCCATGCTTGGGGATTTTCTTTATTATTTGTTTTTTAATAACTTGAATGCTCTCTGTGAAAACATTCATATTTAATAAGGTGATGGTCTCAGTGCTGACTTCCTGTTAAGTAATGAACTTAAGTCTCCTCTCTACCCATTTCTCCTTTTAAGCTTGGATTTAATATTGTATTTTCTTATTCTTTGCTGAATTCTCTTTTATTCCAGACATGCTGGTGTGTACACAGCAGAAGAAGTTGCCCTGATAATGCGTGAGAAGCTAATTCGTTTGCAGTCTTTGTACATTGATCAGTTTAAACGACTTCAGCATCTGCTCAAAGAGAAGAAGCGACGTTATTTACATAATCGCAAAGTGGAACATGAAGCTCTAGGCAAGTTTTATGCTAGTCCTAACCAGCTGCTTGTGGGTTCAAAATGTGAATTTGGTAGTAGTTAGATTTATTTCTGTCTTGGTACCTGGAGTGAGGAGAATTTGCTTTTCATAGTGGCTATCTTATGGCCAAAGTTTACCCTGTTTATTTCTTGTTAATTTGGAGCAGCCATCCTTTATTGGTTGCTTAGCACATAAGATCTTGACTTTTGTGACTTACCAGGTAGTAGTCTCTTGACTGGCCCAGAGGGACTTTTGGCCAAAGAACGAGAGAACTTAAAGCGTCTAAAATGTCTTCGGCGGTATCGTCAGCGCTATGGAGTGGAAGCCTTATTACATAGGCAGCTGAAGGAACGCAGAATGCTGGCCACAGATGGTGCTGCCCAACAGGTAATTTGTGTTTATACCTCTAAAGGGGTATGTGTTTGCTTTGTTTACAAAGTTAGGGTAATAGTCAAAACATTGTACAGTCTTGGCTCTGAAATCTAACTTAATTGGATGCGGGGTAAATTGAAAAGAGCACTTTGAGTCCAGAGACTCTTGATCTTGAAGTTGTCAAATGTTGAGTTTTTTAGCCTTTAAGGATGTACCTTTCTTAAATGTTATAAGTAAGTATTCTCATAGATAATTGGTTGTATTTTTCTTGCCCTTTTTTTTTTTGTAGTATTTATTTATTTTAGACAGAGTGCTTGTGAATGGGGTGGGGGCAGAGGGAGAAGAATCTTTTTTTTTTTAAAGATTTTATTTATTTGTCAGAGACAGCGAGGGAACACAAGTAGAGGGAGTGGGAGAGGGAGAAGCAGGCCTCCCGCTGAGCAGGGAGCCCGATGCGGGGCTCAATCCGAGGACCCTGGGACCGTCATCTGAGCCAAAGGCAGACGCTTAACGACTGAGCCACCTAGGCGCCCCAGGAGAAGAATCTTTAAGCAGACTGCCCTCTGAGCAGGGAGCCCAACACGGGCTTGATCTTTCAACCCATGAAATCATGACCAGAGCTGAAACAAAGAGTCAGATGCTTAACCAACTGAGCCACCCAGATGCCCCAGTTGGTTGTATTTTCTTTTGATGGTTTGTTTGTGTGATTTATCTATTTTCTCCATTTTAGGCTCATACGACTCGGTCCAGTCAGAGGTGCTTGGCCTTTGTGGATGATGTTCGTTGTTCCAATCAGTCTCTTCCAATGACCAGACACTGCCTTACCCGTATCTTTTTTATTTGGTTCAGTTTGCTAGCTAGACTAAAGGCTGGTGGGAATCTCTGATAGTTTGCTTGATTAAAAGTCTTTGTTTTCCTTTGGCTCTGAATCAAGACCAGCAGTTTGCTGAAACTGTTGGTTTCAAGCAGGAGCCTAAAGAAATGTCTTTCTATGGTCTGTTGGCCATTTCAGAACTTTGGAAATGTAATGGTCAATTCATTAGAAAGAAATACCTAAGTCATTGGAGATAGGGATGGGCTAATATTTATTTGTAATAGATTAATACTGGGATTCCAAAATACAGAGATCCCTGATAGAACTTTTTCATTGGAAATATAATAGTGTTAAATCCAGTTATCACACACACAAAAAATTACTATGGGTTTTCCACCAAAAAACAGTGGGTTCTGAACTATGACCTTTCTTTGAGAATTATCCTTTTGTATGGTAAGGGCCCTAATTTGTATATTTTAGATTTCATTCAAATTGGAAACTTGCTATTTCCAAAAATAGAATGATTCCACTCCCCACCTTCCCAGTTAGTTTTCCTTTGGACCGTCATAACATCTCTTGATTTGCTATGAGACCATATTTACTATCAGGTTGTAAGACTTTTTGAGTTTATTGGATTGTGAAAGTGCATCTTTATTATGGATATCAAGAAAGTTACTTTCACAGTAAAAGCACTTGTTAGTATGATGATCTTTATTATCTGAAAGGCTTAAATCTTGCTGGATTTCATTTGCCTGGCAAGAGATATAAAGTATTTGGAAATGAAGTGTATCTTCTTCAATAGGAAAAGAAGGAGAACCTTCTCTTGGTCTTCTGAGAGGAAAAATTTTTTCTGTTTATTGAGTATTTTACCAGTTTATTAATGATAAATAAATATCTGATAAAGGATTGCTGTCCTTAATATACAAAATACTTGTGCAAGGGAATTAAAAACTAAAGATATATGCTCAAAACATAATTGGGCAAAGGTGGACAGATTTAAAAGTAGAAGTGGCTCAATGTTGAAAAGTGTTTCACATAAGTGAAGTAGGTAATAAGGAAATTTTTATCTGTGAATTTGATACTTGTATATATATATTTAATGAATTAGTGAATTTCAAGTTGGTGAGGTTGTGGTGAATGAATTCTAAATATTGCCAGTGGGAAGATCAAGTGGTACAAGCTTTTTAGAAAGCAGCTTGGCAATATTCATATTTGATACGATAATGTTACCTTGGAATTTATTTTAAGGAGATAATCAAATGCAGACTGATATTTTTACATAAAATTCCTTCAACTGGAGACGGCCTTAAAATTTTCAGAAATGGGGTATAGAGAAGAAAATTATGATACAACATATGGAATATGTTTAGGCAATAAACATTAGATTTAACAAAATTTATGAATGACAGGAAAATGATTGTGACAAAAATAGGATATGGAATTACATATAATCAAATACTGGGAGGGGAATTAACAGAAATTGACTTTTCGATGGTGGGGTTATGAATGCCCATTATTCCTCTGCCTTGTACTTCTCAGGTTTTCTTCATTGAGCTTCAGTTACTTTATAAGTCAGAAAAACTCAATTTATAGATATTAAGGAATATTTTAGAATTACAGTATTATACTCAAATAGTTTGTTAGGATATTAATATTTTTAAAAGCAAAGTTGAAAATGAAATGTATTTGAAAAGAGAAGGGAAGTATGATTTCTTTTGTTTTATGTTTTTTTCCTTTCCGCTCCATAGTTGCTTAAGTCGCTTACCCTTCCTTAAGTCCTTATCCCAGAGAAAGATGCGACTGCCATTGGTGACCTGTTAACTCTTTACTCTGGTCTAATGGAGACAGCACTGGACTGAAAGTGAAGGACCCAGACTCTAGTTGTAGGTCAACCATTCCCTTCTTTCTCTCTCTTGTCCCCATTGGAAAGGAAAGGGGGTGGAGGAGGATGGGGGGAGGGTTTTTCCAGGATATTGTATTAAATAAGAGACTTGCGAAAGTTCTTTGAATTCCATGAAAAAAGTTCTGATTAAAACATTTTTAATGGATTGATTTTAAGTATTAAGATTGGACTTTTTAAGCACATCATAGACTTTAGATTTTCTTAAGCACATAGAGAATGCAAATCTGGTTCCTGTTAGAGTCATGTGTTTGTTTGTTCATTTGATTGTTCATATAAATACTGTTTACTTTGTACTATTTACTGTTCCTTTAGAGTGGTAGTTCTCAACTGGGGACCATTTTATCCCCATTTGGCAATGTGTGGAGACAGTTTTGCTTGTTATAATTTAGGGATGAGAGTGCTACTGACATCTAGTGGGTGGAGGCCAGGAATGCTGCTAAGCATCCTACAATGCACAGGATTGGCAGGGTTTTACAGTTGTGAAACCCTGCCTTAAGAGTTTAGCAGTTTCCAAGAATTGATTGAAACAAATGGCTTTATTCAAGAAGTTTTATTTGGTTTAAAAATAAAATGTATGCTAGACTTTTTAATTTTTAGAAATACCTTAAAATTTGGAGGAAAGTTTACCCATAATTCTGTAATCCCGGGTACAATTAGTTTATAGAAAGTTGTACTTTCTGGTTTAAAAATAAGCCCACATTTGAAATAACAGTTGTCTGTTAATCTAGGGGAAAAACCATGTAGTTAAGATTTCAAGAAATGGTTATCACTTGAATAAAACATTTCAGAGTTAACTTGAACTAAATTTTGTTGTTTTATCTAATCAATTTAATTTTAATTCATCCTACAGAGCTGTTTTGCCAACTTGGAAACTGGCCCTTTTCTGTTTTACCCTTAATAGAAGTTATTAGTGCTCCTGGAGTGTTCCTGGAGTACTTCCTTTCCATGGGACCTCATAAGCAAAATTACCTTCTTTCTTTTCTCTTTGGGACCATGACAGAGCTCCCCTGCACTAGCACCCCCTCCCCCAAAAAAGCAAGGGGGCATGGAAATTTATTTTTATTTTTTGTCTATTCCTAGAGCTTCTATTTTCCTCCGTTCTCTGCTGCTTTAAACATACCATGTAAACATTTTGGAAACAAGATTCAAAAAGTTTTTGCAATTTTTTTTGCCAGTGTGCTTAACAGAGCGGAAACACTATATCTCTTGACTCTAGGGAGGTCTTGGTAGTGCTTCTGCAAACTGCCTTTGCCATAGCATGTTTCTTCTGAATAGGTACAGATTCCTAGGATTGTTATTGCTGTTTGCTTAGCAGTGTTTTCAGATGTTTTGTGTTTGACTCTCCTAAGTGAGAACAAGATTAGTGTCTCTAGTTTAAATGACTGGGATCCTGATATGTAGGTTGGGGACTAGATTTAAATTACTGGTAGAGCTAGAACTAGATGTTAGTGAATGACACTTATTTTGAGAACTTTAAAAATTGCTAACTGTGTTTGGTTCTGTTTCAAATGTAACCATTTGTCTTCTGTAGTGCAGACCTTGAATTTTACATGGCAGACAACACTTGTATTTTGTGCCTCCAATAGATCCATTTTATTTCCCTTGACCATTTTTCTACAGATATTTGTCAGGACACGAATCAGGTTCTCTTCAAATGCTGCCAGGGGTCTGAAGAGGTACCCTGCAACAAACCAGTTCCTGTAAGCCTCTCTGAGGATCCCTGCTGCCCACTGCATTTCCAGTTGCCTCCTCAGATGTATAAGCCCGAGCAGGTACTGTCTGTGCCAGACGATCTGGAAGCCGGCCCCATGGATCTGTACTTGAGTGCTGCCGAGCTTCAGCCCACTGAGAGTTTACCTCTGGAGTTCAGTGATGTAAGTTAGAGAAGCTCTGCTCTGGTTGGTCCTTGAGGCAAGGCCTTATTTATTAATGGTGAGACTAGGTTAGTCTTTTGTGGCCAGGAGACTTGATAAAGTTTTTGAAATGATACATGTATGGTTGTATTTGTATGTTAGTATATTGATTTAGAGACAGTTAAATTGGCAGGAGTTTTTCTGAGGGAATAAGGGAATTGTAAACTATGGGAAGTTGGAAAGTCCAGATTATGGTTGGATTTGGTATAGCCAGGAAACTTGGTACCCATCACAGGTGAGTGATTCACTAGAATCTTAATAATACAAATGAATTCTCATATCTACTCTTGACAGTTGGAAGCTTGCGTTTTTCCTCTGTAGTCGTAAAGGTTTCATTTTCAGGTTCATTTGCGCCCCCAAGAAATGACTCTAAACTTAGCTCTGGCTGCTGGCTTTTATTTTTGTTATGTTATTGTAGATTCCGTTGTGAATGGACTAGAACAACAGTGATACCTTTTTAAATATTTACAGCCTTCGAAGTATGTACACTACTTTTTTAATTGGTCCCAGCCCATAAACCCATCTCTGATTTTATTTGTTCCCCTAGTTAGCACTACCTTACTATCTGACTCAGGGATCAGTTGTCATACCATCTCTATCTTAGCACTTTACTTAATATTTAGCGTTCTGGATAAAGGTCTTCATTATTTATTCTGAAGATAAATTTGAGTTTCGTAATAAAGATGTGTTGTATATAACCATGACATGTTTAATGTAACAGATCTAAATGGAAAATTGAATGTAGGTTATAGGATTATTTGCTAAGGGTAGAAGCAAAGTTTGGGTGGCTTCAAGGGTATTGCTTGCTAAAAAGGATATACCAGGATAGGGTAATATCTGAAAAAGAAAAGTGGTATTAAGAATAAACTGATTCTCATTTTTTTTTCATAACCCCCCCCTTGGTTACATATGATCTACAAGCTTATTTAACTTTTTCGTTATTTATAATAAAATTATAATTTTTATTTTATGTAATTATATGCCTTTGTAGACCTTATTTGTAAAAACACATAAACATACAAAATGAATGATTATATATGTTTGTAGACCTTATTTGTAAAAACACATAAACATACAAAATGAATGATTATATATGTTTCATGTAGATTCATTTGGCTTCCTTCAATGATTAGCA